AAGAGGATGGGCATCGTCGTGTGCCTGCTGCTGCTGCTGCTGCTGAGAGACATGGGCTGGGCTCGGGGCTGCAATGGCTGCCCGGTCGCTGTCGCCGAGATGTGGCGGGCCATCCTCGCCTGTCCCAACTGGTGCCATAGCGGCTGGAGGTGCTGCAACTGCTGCTTGAATAGTCGCCTGCGATGGGCCCCGGGACGCAGTGCCCCTGCTAATGTTGATGTCGCTGCTGCGGTAGGCGTGGCCGGAATCGTAAGAATTACTCGTAGCTGTCCAAGCAGCGCCGTGAGCATGGCCAGGTGAGAAGTCAAAGCTGCCTGCCCGTCCTGCAAGTCCGTGACAGAACGTGGCACTGAGGAAGGCGACTGTTCGCTCGAGCCTGCATGGACAGGCTGCGGAGAGAATGGTGGCTGCGCCTTGGCCCCCGACGGGGGGGAGTGAGCGGCCTGAGCGAAGGGCGATGACTGCTCGTTCTCGCTGGTCCCCATAGGGTGGGAGCTTTGTTCGACCTCCATGAAGGAGCTCGCTCTGCGGTGCTGCTGCGATTTGCTGCTGGAGACCGCTTCGACCGCTGCTGCTGCTGCTTGGGCTGCTTGGGCTGCGATGTGGTTCTCTTCCTGCTGTCGGGCCGTTTTTTTTTTTTTTTTTTTTTTTTTTTTTTTTTTTTTTTTTTTTTTTTTTTTTTTTTTTTTTTTTTTTTTTTTTTTTTTTTTTTTTTTTTTTTTTTTTTTTTTTTTTTTTTTTTTTTTTATATATATATATATATATATATATATATATATATTATATATCAGAAGCTCCGCTGCGATATCCAAGTCGCGTAGCAGCTCGTGCTTCGCCTGAGTGGGTGCCGCTGGTGCCGCTCGGGCCTGGGCTTCGGCGGCCTCGGCATCGCTGACTCTCTTCCTGGCGCGCTGGCCGTCGCGCCGCCGATGCATGGCCCTGTCTTTGGGGGCGTAGGCATCTATGGACATGGAGAGAAAAACGGAACACTCGTCTTCCAGCTCGGCAGTCCTCCTCTTGTCCGCAGCCATGACCTTGGCACTCTCGATCTGGGGCTCCCGAGCGACCAGGTTGGTGGGTGCGTAGCTGGGACCGGAAGGCGGGCAGGCACTTGCGTGCAGCTGGTGGGGCGATCCAAGCACCGTGCGTCCTGGCCACCTCCTGAGATGCAGGCCTAGCAGGTGGAATGCCCGGCGTAAAGCCAGGCTGACCTTTGACTGCGTTTGACTGGTGCTGCTGTTGCTACTGCTGCGGCTTCTGCTGCCCAGGACGACTCCCGCGAGAATCTGACCTGTTGCTACGTTGCCAACCATCTGGTTGCTGCGATTGTTCGCGAACTCGGCGATTCACCTTCTCCTGAGAGGGGGAAGCGCCGAGCGCGCATCTTCGCCGTGGGCCAATGGCGGGTATCGCGCGTGGTGCACTGCGGCTGCGACGGCGGTGATGACGGGCATCCTCCTCCAGATCCACCTCCTGCGGCCCACGGCGGAACGCTGCTGTCCGACTTCCCCGTGCTGACTGGATAGCTGTGGTGAGCGGAAAGAAGATGACGGGCGGAAGCAGCCCTTGCCAGAGCTTTGGCTTGGGCGCGTCGTGATCTTAGACGTGCTGCTCGGTCGCGCCAGCGCTGCATTGGCGGCTGCGCGGCGCGATGGGTGCGATCGTCGGAATGGGGGGCCCGCGCTCCCTGGGGGCGCGCCCGAAACCCCTGGGCCGGACAACCTCCTGAGCGCACGGGGGAGAGAGGAGAGGGAGGAGGGGTGAGACAAGGAGGAGAAGAGAGGAGAGGATGACGCTCAGCGCACTCTCTTCAAAACGAGGACTCAACATCACATGATGGTTGGGGACAAGTGCGGTTCTCATTTGAGCTCACGATGATCATATGCAACCTGTGTGATCATCAAATGAATGTGTGTGGTTCTCACATGAGAACGTATGTGTTCTCACGTGATGGCGTGCGGCTCTCATATGAAAGCATGCTGCTAGTATAAAGCACTGAGTGGCTCTCGCACGACGAAGCGCGATTTGCATGCGACAGTGTGCGGGTATCATGTGACACCTCAGTGGTTGTCGGTATGCAGTTGTTTGGTTCTCAAATGGCATCTCTACGCTTCTCATACGAAAACGTGCGATTCGCGTATGACATCTGAACGGTTATCATATGAAGATGTGTGTTTTCAAATTGGGCAAGGTCGTTCCCATATGACAGCTGAAAAGTTACCACATACAAATATTTGATACTCATGCGATGCATGCTGTGCGTTTCTGATATGGACCTGTGTGTTCGCATCGGGAACTGAGCAATTCTCACTATGACAATGCGTGGTTCTCATATGAACGGTGTGCGCTGCTCATGTGAATCATCTGTGCTTCTCAGATGACAACTGAACGACCGCCACGTGGTCAAAACAGATGATCCTCATCTAGAAAATGTGATTGACAGGCGGCAGCGAAATTGGTGCGACAAAAATGCGGCTCCCGCGACATTTGAATGGCCTGGTCGTAAGACGAGTGATTCGCATATGCCAGCTGCACGCGTTCCATGTGCAAAATGAACAACGCTTACTTCCCACGTGAGAACTGTGACAATGTTCCTTTGCAGCTGTGGGGTTCTCATATGCGATTCCCGTGTAAGTTTACACATTCGCATACTACGTTGTGTGGAAACTGCGAGGTGTTCGTATGCAACGGTGTGAATTGTAATAAGAATGATGTGCGGCTCTTATATGCCGTTTCGTGGTTTTCATATGCAACTGTGGAGGTCCCATGTGGTCATCCACGGTTGCCGGATGGAAGCGGAATTCTCTTTTGAAGCTGTGTGCGACGTTCGGGGGCTGTAAGCTGTTCGTGGGACCGCATGTGGTTATCATACGGTTGCTGTGTGTGTGTGTGTGTGTTTTACGTTCATCTGACAAAAAGGCCCGGTTCGAATGTGAAAGCTGTACGGTGCCCATGCGTAACATGTATTGTTCTCGTATGCGTACTGTACGGTTCTCAGATGAAAGCTTTACTGGTCATATGCAAACTGCTTGGTTACACTACGAAAGCTCGACGGCTATCACCTGACATTCGTGTGTGTGTGTGTGTGTGTCTGTAGTTCTGGGCGGGCAACGGTGCGATTCCCATGTGCAAGCTGTACGATTGGAATTGGCTTGATTCAGAATGCTCACCTGGCACCTGTGTGGTTCACATGTGATAACTGTGTGGTCCGCAAGTGAAGTTGCACTGTTCGCACTTGGATGCGTTTGATTCCCACTTTATGGTGCACGTGAGCGGTGTGACTCTAAATCTTAATTGCGTACCTGATTCCAATCTGAGCCTGTGTGGTTCCACTATGAATCGGCAGGGTCCCCGTTTGACGCTGTGTGGTACCGATGTGCAACTGAATGGTTCCCATGTGAGGCTGTGCAATTCCCGCATGAGGCTGTGTGATTCCCATGTGAAGCTGTATGACTCCCACATGGAAGCTGGTCGATTCCAACATGAAGTTCAATATGAAGCTGTGTGGCTCCCATTTGCAAATCTGTGATTCCTACATGATGCTATGAGGATCACATGTGAAGCTCGATGGTTCCCACATGAAGCTGCGTGTACCGAAATCTGTACGACGCGCATTAGAAACTGGATGGTTAGGCTATCGTGGGAAAACTCAGCGGAGGACCGAATGACTGCGCGACAGTCCGCGGGGCCCCGCCCACAGAAGGCCAGACCAACAGTTCTCTCTGCCCTCCCTCCCTCCATCCCTTCATCCTTCCCTCCCCTCCCCTCTCCTCCCCTCCCCTCTCCTCCTCCTCCTCCTTCTCCTCCTCCTCCTCCTCCTCCTCCTCCTCCTCCTCCATGTCATCATCCTTCCTCCGCCTCCTCATCCTTCATCTTATGATCACCCTCCTCCTCATCCTCCATCTCATCACCCCTACCCCTTTTTCTCCTCCTCCGTCCCATCCTTTCCCACATCTTGTCGCCCCCCCTCCCCATCATACTCCTTCCTCCCTCCTCCTCCTCCTCCGCACCTCCTCCTCCTCCTCCTCCTCCTCCTCTTTCTCCTCCCTCTCGCCCCCCCTGCTCCTCACACGGTCAGGCCTGGTCTACTACTACGATGGGGTGCCGTTGTGGCTCAAACCTCCTCCACCTCAGACCTCTGAATATCGCAGCCATTTTCCTGCTTGTTAGTTTTTCCTGGGAACTCACACGGCCAGGCAAGGCCCTGGCGCGAGAGCGCCCGGACGCTTCTGGAGGCCTCCTGGATAGGGTCCGAGTAGATGGGGTCGAAGGATCGCGCTGCATCGCCAATGCATCGCCGATGTATCGCCGATGTATCGCCGATGCATCGGCGATGCATCGGCGACGTCGGCGATGCATCGACGTCGGCGTGGGGCAACACGGGCTCCACATTGAACCGCATCGTCGATGCATCGGCGATGCGGCTCGGTCCTCCGGCCCCGTCCAGTCGGACCCCATCCAGGAGGCCTAGAACATGAACTTTTGGCTTTCCGGATTTCTTGAGTCTGCGCTGGACCCCCCTCCTGGAGGCGCCGCTGGGGGGCCCGCGCGGAGGGCCAAAAGTTCATGCTTATGATGTTTTCGCTTTTCCCCTCCCTGATGCCTGGTGGCACACCTCGCTTCAACGGTATCCCCGTTTGGGCCATTCCGCTGGCGCACACGACCCCTGCCTCGCCGCCGACGTACAAATATCTATGGTGCTTTTTCTTTTTTCTTCGAGCGAGGGCGCCCGGACGCTTCGGCGCGCCCCCCGTGGGCCAGGAACCGACCGTCCCGGCATTCCTATAGGCCTACCGCGACATGTTCTTCGAGCCCAAACATGTTCTAAGGATGAGAACAGTGCTCTCAGAACATGCGCCCGATGTGTGAAAACAAGACAGTCCCAGCCAGAAATGCTCCAAGAGAATGTCGTGCAGACCACAAAGGGTTCTTGGAACATTCTTCGGTGGGCCCATAGGCGAGTCAAGACGCTTCGCCACTGCTTGACCCCGGTCGCCGGCCTCCTTGGCGCCGGCCTCCGTGGCGCGCTGCCAACACTTCTGCCACGCCGCCACCTGCCGGCGGCGGCGGCGCTGGCCCCGGCTGCCGCTCCGCCCTCGGCTTTTCCTCCTCCCCCTCCTCCTCGTCGTCGTCCTCCTCCTCCTTCTCCAAAGTTCTCCTCCTCCTCCTTCTCCTCCTAAGTCCTCCTCCTCCTCCTCCTCCTCCTCCTCCTCGCTCCTCACTCCTCACCCCTCACCCCTCACTCCTCGCTCCTGGCCCCCGCTTCGCCCTCCCCGCTTCTCCTCCGCCTCCGACTCCTCACCATTCTTCCTCTTCCTCCTCCTACACCACCTCATCATCCTCGCACCTCCTCCTCCTCTCCCTCTTCCGTCCTCAATCCTCGCTCCGCCTCGTCGTCCTCCTCCTCCTCCTCCTCCTCCTCCTCCTCCTCCTCCTCCTCATCATCATCATCATCATCGTCACGACCATCATCCGCATGATTCCTTTTTTTCTCTATTCTGTATCCTCCGCCTCCTCCTCCTCCGCTTCCTCCTCCGCATCTTCACTCCTCCTCCTCCTCATCATCCTCCCGTCATCTTCGTCCGTATGTAGGCTGAGGCATTTTGCGCATGATAACTGGTGGGTTAGTGGGTCTCTCGGTTAGTTGTCACAGCCGAAATGCTCGCAAAGGCGGGCGGGTGGACCGCACGAAGCGCGCATGCAAGAAAATGAGTGCAATACGATTGTTGCTTCGAGATATCGACCAGACTGCGACACATTGCGGGTGGTTACGAATGCGAGGGGGTGCGCGCCACCGAACTGTGACGACTTCTCTGTGTTATGCAACCGATGCGTGACTATTTGCAAGCCCAGCCCAGTTTGGGTTGTAACAGGGTCGACCACGACGGTTTTGAGTGCGAGGTGGTTGCCACCGCGCTACGATTATTCCTCCTTCGTCCATCGTCCAACAGCACAAGTGTTACTACGCTCAAGCTCCAGACAAGGTTCGCCACAGGGTCGGCCATGACGGCGTCAAGTGCGAATGGGAGCGCGACACCAATCTGTGATTGTTTCTCTTGCTTAAAAAGTGTTTAGAACAAACGAAGTAGGAATATTTTGATGCCCGGGGCGCGGCCATTGTAGCAACGGGGTTGGCCGCGACGGTTTCAGGTGCGAAGGGATGCGCGCCACCGAACCGACGCTACGATGCTGCTACTAAACATCGAACTGAACATATCTGCACGCCCCTGGTGCCGTCAAGGTCGCACCTGCTGGCCCTCAGAGAGCCATCCGGAAAACAAGGTCGGCCGCGACGGCTTCGAGTGTGAGGGGGTGCGCGTCACCGGACTGCGACTCGCCCTTGCGCTGGAAGAAACTGTGATGATTTCGAGCCAGGGTCTGGTTGAGGACGTGGCACGCTCGGCCACGCAGGAGGCCCTTCACGGGGCCCGGCGAAGCCTCGGGGCTGCCAAGGACCAAGGAGGCCCCCGTGCGTCCAGCGGCTCCCGGCCACGAAGTGCGCGGGAGGTGCGCCAGAAACCGCTCGTCCAACGGCTTCTGGCTCGCGGGGCCCTCCCTCGAGGGGCTGCGAGCGTTTTGGGCCTTCGGGGGGGCCCCGTTCGCCCAGTGGTTCGTGGCCACGAAATGCACGAGGGGTGTGCCAGAAAAAAATTCGTCCAACTGTTTCTGTAGAGGCCTCCTAGATGGGGCCTGGATAGATGGGGTCGATGGATCGCGCCGCATCGCCAATGCATCGCCGATGCGTGGAAGACGTCGGCGTGGGGAACATCGGGCCCCACACCGAGCTGCATCGCCGATGCATCGCGATGCATCGGCGATGCGGTGCGATCCTCCGGCCGCATCTGCTCCGACCCCATTTGGGAGGCCTAGATTCTGGCCCGTTCCAGACCCCTGGCGCCCTCATGGAGTCCCGCGCGTATGGGGCTTCGAGAAGCCCCCGAGGCCCCATCTTATTTCTCTCCGCCGTCGGCCTGGGCAGCGCCCGCGGGTCCGTCTGCCGCTCGAAGTTCTGCCGCCCGTCCGAGCCGTCGGCCATGTCCAGACCTTGTGCGCCCAATGCCTGTCGATGGCGTCCACTTCGCGCTGGCCAGCTCTCGGGGCGCCCAGCAGATCCAGCTCGTCCTCCTGTCAGCCGCGCGGGCCGCGCCGCCGCGCGCGGAGCCCGCTTGCGCCGTGCTCGAGAACCTCCAGCGCCCACCTGTTGAAGCGCTCGTGGCGACGTCGGCTGTGCTCAGCGGCTGGCGCGGCGGCCTCCGCTCGGGCCTCGGTGGCCAGCGCCGCCAGGGCGTCGGCGGTCGCGACGGCCGCGGCCGCCATCGCGGCCACCCAGCGGCGGCGTCGTCCAGGTAGTCGGCCACGGCGAGGAGGTGCCGCGCCTGCCCGCTCGACCTGGGGCCGCCCGAGATCTGCGGGTGGTCGGGCGCCGGACGCGCCCAGCTCTCCTCGGGCTCCTGGCCACGCCCGCAGTGCGCCTGCGCCTTCAGCGGGTCGTCGACGTGGTAGGCGCAGCACAATTCTGCCTCGGCCTGGCGCATGGCCCCGTGGTAAGCCGCCTCCAGCGCTGTTGGGGAGGAGGCCGCCGAGGCCGCCAGCGCCTGCAGGCCGGCTGACAGATGGGCGGCCTCGCGCCGCGGGCCGATGGGCAGCTCCCTCGGGAAGGCCCTTGGCTGCCTCAGGACCCGCTCGGGCGCGATCACCATGCGTGCGTTCAGCGCGAGCTTGACGGCGCAGTGGGGCCTGTTGAAGGGCCCGGGGGTGGCCGTGCTGCAGCTCCTCGCGGACTCCGCCAGGCTGCGGTGCACGATGGAATAAATCATCGAGGTTGGCGAGGACGGCCGCCTGGAAGCAAGTCTCGCACTCGGCCGACTGCGCGATGGCGCCCTGCGCCGTCTCCAACCCCCAGCCCGCCTTCGCCGTGGAGACGTCGGGCGCGGCGTTGAAGTCGCCGCCGAGTATCCACGGCCTGCCCTGGGGCACCAGCGCGTCGCCGACCTCGATGGGGGCCCGCTGGGATGCCTCCCCCGCCGTGTCGTTGGCGAGGTAGATGCTGCCGAGGGCGAGGCCGCCGCGGCGGACCGCGTCCGTCACCGCAGCGATGCCGCGCCCGTCGCTGCAGGTCACGCGGCCGCCGCCCGCCGTGCCGGCGTTGGGCGGGCCGCGCGTGGCAGGGGCAGCGACTCCGACGCCGCCCGAGGCCGCGGGCGCCTCCCGCGCCGCCGCTGCCAGCCGCGCCAGGCGCCAGGACAGCCTTCACCCCCGCTCGCCTGCGCCGCGCCTCCTGGGCGTTGATGTCGCGCGCGTCTCCTGGACGAGCAGCGCGTCCGCGCGGTGGCTCTCCACGAACCAAGCGCCACCTGCCAGAGCTGGGTGAGCGGGCCCCAGCCCGACCCGTTGACCGTCATGATCTCGAAAGTGCCCTTGCGCCTCGGGCGGGCGCGCCGCTGCCGGGCTGGCCGCCTCGGGGCTGCGCCCTCGGGGCGGTCGGGCCGGCTGCCGCCTTTTCCGCGCGGGCTCGCCCCCGTCGGCGGCGCGCTCGGACGCCGCGCGGGCGGCGGGGCCGCTCGCAGGGATCAGCGCGCCGAGGCGCAGGGGCACGGGCGCGCCGCCGTTGTCACTTCTCTGGATGACTCCGCCACTGCCGCTGCGGCGGTCGCCTCGTGTCTTGGCGCGGGCTGCAGCGATGGCGCCACGGATCTTCTCGCGGCCGAGGCCCGAGGCAGGGCGGTCGCAATCGCCGTCAGGACCCGCCAGATCCGCTGCCAGGGCCGACCCCAGCGCGTCGTCCATCGCCGCGTCCGCGGCATCAGCCTCGTCCTGGCTGGCCAGGACCTCGACGGGCTCCGCGGTGGCGCCGCCTCCTGCGCCGCCTGGCCTGGGTGTCGCGGGGACGACGGTGGCGGCCTCCTGCTTGCCCCACTCCTCGACGAGCTGCACCGCGGCCGCGACCTCGGGGGGGACCTGGCCCATCACCGCGGCCTTGAGGTTGCAGAGGGAATCCAGGAAGAGCTGCCCTCGCTCCGCATGCGTAGCGGCCTTGGACGCAAGCTCCGCAAGGTGGGTCGCTGCGACCTTGGCCCGCTCCGCGCCGAGGGCGGCGCGCTCGGCCAGCACCGCCTCGAGCTCCTTCTCAGCGCTGGCGAAGGCCTTCTTCCGCTTGGCAGCCTGCTCCTGCTTCGCCACGCTGCGCTTGTCCAGCTCGCTCAGCTTGGTGCCGATCGCCCGCGGCTGCTCGTGCGGCGGCTTCACCAGTCGCAACTCCTCCTGGAGACGGGCCGTCTCGCTGCGGTAGGACGCCAGAAGGGACACCATGCCTTCGCCCGAGCTGCCCATGGCCTCCAGCTTCGCGATGAGGCCCCGCAGCTCCGCCACCCTGTCGCTGCCGCGCGCCTCCTCCGCGCCCGCGGCGCCCCTCGAGGCCGAGCGCTGCAACGCCTTGTTCTCCTTCTTGACGCCGTCGATCTCGCGCCGCGCGGCTTTGACCTCCTTGCTGGTGTCAGCCGCAGCGCCGCCGCGATGCCCGCGCGCCGAAGCCGAGGCAGAGCGTGGCCTCGCCCACGGCGGCCCCTCGACGCCGCACTCGCGGCAGGCAGCCCGAGACGCCCAATTGCCCCTGGCCCCGCAGTAGCAGTCCCAGCTCGCTTTGCTGCCGCCGCCCGCGCCGCCTTGGCCCGCCATCCTCCCATGTGAAGAGCCGTGGTGGCCCGCGAGGAGGCTGACGCCTTCCGCCAGGCGTTCGCGGAGGCGCACGCTGCTCTTGCTCGCCCATGCCGCCAGCAGCAGGCGGGCCCGCCGGCGATGGCGGCGGGCTCTTTGGCGGCCAACCGATTCGCGCACCGTGTTGCGCTAGTCTCAGCGCGAGGAATCGCGTCAGCCTGGCTGACGCACCCAAAACCATCGAGCCAACCCTATGATGATGATGATGATGATGATGATGATGATGATGATGATGGTGGTGGTGATGATGATGATGATGATGATGATGATGATGGTTGTGGTGGTGATGGTGATGCTGATGGAGGTGGTGATGGTGGTGATGATGATGATGATACTGATGGCGATGATGTTGCTTACGCAGGAACAAGTCACAACATGCTGTTGAAGCAAGGGGTTCAGGCCAGAACACAATGACGATTC